TGTAAATTATTCTTGGGGCAGAGAGGTGTCTTATCAACTGATTCATCCCCTAAATATCTACAATGGCTTGCTCCAAGGTCTAGAGCTGGAATGCCATTCAAGTTCCCATGTGGGTAGCAGAAACCCAAGGACTTGAGCCATTTTGTGTTATATAATTTCTATCGCTGTATCATTTTTAAATCAATTTTTCAAAAGGCAAAGTGACAAAGAATGGGAAGGATAGGGGTGGGAGTGTGGAGAGATTTTGCATTTACTGGTTCACTCCCCAAATGTCTACAACAGCTGGGGTGTGGAGTCAGGTTAACCTCAGGAGCCAAGGACGGCCCGCGGGCTCCCGTGGGGGTGGCTCGGCCACGTGGTCTGCTCCTTGACCAAGCTCATCTTTTCTGAGTAGACAGCTCAGGGTATTCCCACCACTCATACCATTGGGACAATACCACCACTGTCTCCAGAGCTCTGTCATCATCTCCAACAGAAACTCTGCTCATTGTAAACAGTGTCGCCCTACTCCGGTCCTTGGGTAACCATTAATTTGCTTCCCATCTCTGGGAATCTGACTGCCCCAGGTGCCTCATAAAAATGGAATTGCCCATAGCTGTCTCACAGCGTTGGCTTTCTTTCACTTGGCATCGTGTTTCAAGGTTCGTGCGTGTTACAGCAAGTACCAGAACATCATTCCTTTTTACAGCTCAGTAGTACTCCATTGGGTGGATGGTACCACATTTTATTTATCTCTTTATCTATTGAAGTGCATTTGGGTTCTTTCCTCCCTTTACTGTTGTGCATAGAGGTGCTTGTGAACATCTGTCTGCAGTTGTGCTTTGAGTATTTGTTTCCAGTTATTTTGGGTGTGTGTCTAGGAGTTTGCTTGTATTTAAATCTTTTTGTTTTTTTTTAAAGATTTATTTATTTCAGCTCCCAGCACAATAGCCTAGTGGCTGAATCCTCACGTTGCATCTGCTGGGATGCCAGATGGGCATCAGTTCATGTCCTGGCTGCTCCACTTACCTTCCAGCTTCCTGCTTGTGGCCTGGGAAAGCAGTCGAGGACAGCCCAAAGCTTTGGGACCCTGCACCCGTGTTGGAGACCTGGAAGAAGCTCCTGTGCTCTTGCTCCGGATTGGCTCAACTCCAGCCATTGTGCCCACTTGGGAGTAGATAAAAGATCTTTCTTTCAGCCCGGCAGCACCGTGGCCTAGCGGCTAAAGTCCTCATCTTGAACGCACGAGGATCCCTGGCTCCTGGCTTCAGATTGGCACAACTGCGGCTGTAGTGGTCACTTGGGGAGTGAATCATCGGACAGAAGATCTTCCTCTCTGTCTTTCCTCTGTATATTTGACTTTGCAATAAAAATAAATTAATCTTTGAAAAAAAGAGAGAAAAAAAGATCATTCAGTGTCTCCTCTGTTTATCTGCTTTTCCAACTAAAATAAATAAATAAATCTTTTTTAAAAAGTCCCATTTATTTATTTATTTTTTGGGGGAAAGGCAGATTTATAATGAGAAGGAGAGAAAAAGATCTTCCATGTTCTGGATCATTTCCCAAATAGCCGAAGTGGCCAGAGCTGAGCCAGTCTGAAGCTGGGAGCCAGGAGCCTCTTCCAGGTGTGACTTTAGACCATCCTGGACTGCTTTCCCAGGCTACAAGCAGGGAGCTGGAAGGGAAGTGGAGCAGCTGGGACGCGAACTCACGTCCATATGGGATCTCGATACTTGTAAGGGGAGAATTAGCTAATTGAGCTATCGTGCCAGGCCCAGTGTTTCAGTTGCTGCCACCCACAATGAAGACCCAGGTGAAGCTTCTGGCTTTGCATTGGTCCAGCCCCAGAAGTTGCAGCCACTTGGAGGAGTAAACCAATGGATGCAAGATTTTTCTGTTTCTTCTTCTCTTTATGTAATTCTTTCAAAGAATAAATAAATATTTTTTTAAAAAATCCCATGTCAGATTAAATGAATTCCCTTTAATCCTATCTTGCCAAAAGTTTTGATTGTGATAATTGAATTTCAATACCGTTTTATCTCTTGAAATCATATGGTTTTTCCTGTTGGTTCTGTTATTATGGTAGACTACGTGACTTTTTATTCTTGATTCATTAGTTACATGTTTTTTTTTCCCAAAAATTTGTTCATTTTTATTGGAAAGGTGTATCAGATTTATCGACAAGGAAAGACAGAGAAAGATCTTTCATCTGCTGGTTCATTCTCCCAGTGGCTGAAACAACCAGAGCTGAGCTAATCCAAAGCCAGAATCCAGGAGCTCTTCCAGGTCTCCCACGCGGGTGCAGGGTCCCAAAGCTTTGGGCTGTCCTCGACTGCTTTCCCAGGCCTTATGCAGGGAGCTGGTTGGGAAGTGGAATTACTGGGACATGAACTTGTGTGCTGGAGCTCAGAGGTGGAAATTTTAGTGCGTTGAGCCATCGTAGCACATCCTTACACTCCTGGTTATTTTTTTTTTTCTTTTGAAAAAGATTTTTATTGGAAAGGCAGATCAGATTTACAGAGAAAAGGAGAGACAGAAAGATCTTCTCTCTGCTGGTTTGCTCCCCAAATGGTTAAAACAGCTGGAGCTGAGTTGATCCAAAGCCACCAGCTTCTTTTAGGCCTCCAGCATGGATGTAGGGGCCCAAGGAGTTGAGCCCATCCTCTGCTGCTTTCCCAGTCCATAAACAGAGAGCATGATAAGTGGAGTGGTCGTGACATGAACCGGCGCCAATATGGGATGACAGTGCTGTCGGCTGAGACTAGTCTTCTGTGTCACTGTGCCCTAGTTAACATTTCATTTTTTCATTCCAGTTTTTACACTTTTAGCTTTATCATTATTATATCTCTAGCCAGTGATACTGCTGTTTTTTTTTTCAAAGTTGTGTTAGAAAATATAAAGTTTAAATGTTGGCTATTTTACGTATGCAGGTTAGTAATTATTTATTTTCCTTATTTGAAAGGCAAAGAAAGAGAGGGAGAGAGATCTTCCATCCATTGAATTACTCTCCAGTTGCTCCCAAGTGCTGGGGCTTGATCAGGTCAGGTTGGGAACCAGGGACACAATCCAGGTCTCCCATATAAGTGCCTGAACCCATTTCCTGGGCCATAATCTCCACTGATTCCTAGGGGCCGTACGTGGAAGGTGGGGTCGGAAATGCAAGCTGGAAAGTGAACCCAGACCTTGCAGTGTGGAACGCAGCCTTCTTGGCTGTGGTCTGCAACCCAGGCCAGCAGTGCCTTTATTATTGTGGAAGCCTCATGAGTTCTTTTTATATATTCTAGCTTTTTTCTCTTGATCAGATATATAGTTTCCATGTCTTACCCCACTCCTTCCACTCTGGATCTTTCATATTTAACCAACTTAGCATTATTTAGAAAACCCCAACTTGGTCCTAATGCATTTTTTTTTCAGTGTCATTGGAATGACTTTGTTCATGTTAGATGTTTTATACATCTGTGTCCTCATCATGTGTGCAAGTGGCCAGGCCAGTACTTTGATAAGTCCTTGTCAGATTTGCATCTAATGGTTCTGCTGATGTCCTAAGCTTGGGCATTAGGCCCTCTTTTCTAGCCTGTGGAGTTTGATTGGTATCTCTTTCTCTTTGTTTCTATCTTCTTCCTCCTCCTTTTGCTCCCCTGAAGGGGTTGGACCAAAAGTAGTCTCCAGAAAGATCCATATTGACCTAGTGGGAAAGCCACAGTCCTCTGGTGGCAGCTGAGATGGACTTTAGCACTGGGGGTGGCAGGTCAGCCCTGAGTCAGGGCTCCGCTGGGTGGGTGTTGGGCACGCATGCACGCTGCGCTCGTGAGGGCTAGAGGGATGGTGGTGGTGGCCTGGCCTGAACTAGTGTCACATAAACCCCTGGTAGGTGCAGATTTTTGTCTGACTAGCAGCAGGATTCGGCAGGCTGTGTCAGTGCTGGGGTTAGGGTTAGCGATGCCACCTGCCACGTCACGTGTTGATGTGGTTGTTGGGTAGGAGACCTTGTCCAGGTTCCTGAGGCCAGAAGGGCTCTTAAGGATGCCAAATTCTTTTTTTTTTTTTTTTAAGATTTATTTATCTTTATTACAAAGTCAGATATACAGAGAGGAGGAGAGATAGAGAGGAAGATCTTCCGTTTGATGATTTACCCCCCAAGTGAGCACAATGGCCAGTACTGTGCCAATCTGAAGCCAGGAGCCAGGAACTTCTTCCAGGTCTCCTACACGGGTGCAGGATCCGAAGGCTTTGGGCCATCCTTGACTGCTTTCCCAGGCCACAAGCAGGGAGCTGAATGGGCAGTGGAGCTGCTGGGTTAGAACCGGCGCCCATATGGGATCCCGGCACTTTCAAGGCGAGGGCTTTAGCTGCTAGGCCACCGCGCCAGGCCCAAGGATGCCAAGTTCTTGATCAGACTGTGTTGAGTACTCGCCATGGCCAAGCCATTGGCATTATCGTGCTTCTTTTCTGTCTTCTTTGTGTCGAAATAGCAAAGAGCACAAATCTGACTCCTGCCACTGGTGTGAGTGAGCAGCACCTGGCACATGTGTCCCAAGCCACCCTTCCTTCAGCAGCCACTGGGAGGCGCCTCCGAGGTGCCCCGTGGCCTGGAAGGAGGCAGGCTCTGAGGTTGCTTACCGTGGGTTTCATTTCTGTGACCTGTGAAGGCAGCTTTGTTGAGACAGAACAGGGCAGTGCTTGCTGAGGAGTGGGATGTGTGATTACAGTGGGACAGCCACTGGGAGTTTCGGGGTGTGTTGTGTGTGTGTGTGAGAGTACGTTCTGCATCCCGACTTTGGTGTTGGTAATTCAGGTCTGTACGTGGATTAAAATTCACAGAGCTGTTAGATTTCCTGTATTCTCCCCCCACCTCCCTAAAAGAGAAAGAAAAATAAATGAAGTACACTGTAGAGTGAGCTGCTCGGGATCTAGGTGTCCCAGCTGGGCCTGGCCCCAGGTGGCGTTTCTGCTAGAGCCCAAGCCTGGTTCTGGCTTCCTGGCCCCTCGTCACTCACTGGCTTTTTCCTTCCTCGTGGTAGATTGGAGCTGGAGGCAGCATCACTGGGCTGAAGTTTAACCTTCTCAATACCAACCAGTTTTTCGCCTCCTCCATGGAGGGAACAACTAGGCTGCAAGATTTTACAGGCAACACTCTCCGGGTGTTTACCAGCTCAGACACCTGCAAGTGAGTAGCGAAACTAGCAGGGGAAAGGGCTTCGCAGCTCGAGGCGTGTGGGCCTGGCGAGAGCATCCTCATCCTGTCCCCAACCCACACCTGGCGAGGAGGGAAGAGAAGGTGTCCGCCACTTTCTACCCTGCTCGCTCTCAAACTCATTGGCTACTACTCTCACTTCAGCCCAGGTAGCTTACCACTCTGGGATGGCGCGCTTCTTGGTGAGGGAAGGGCTCTGGCTTTTCTGCAAGTCACGCCTGTAGCTAGACTTGACCTTGGCTCTAAAGAGACAAAGTCAGCATGATGGCAGTGGCCAGTGGAGTAGAACCTAGGAATTGCAAACTGAAGTCCTTCCATTCATCAGGGTGTGTAGGAAGCTTAACTGGATATGGTAATGTCCAAAAAGTGCTCTGGGCAGCCCGAAGGGCAGGGGCTGGAGACCTGACAAAATGCAGGGTCACTAGGGTTTCAAGCCAGAAGCATGGAATTGGGTGCTCCCTAAGGAATGAAGCGAGGGTCTAGGCTCCGGCACCCAGCAGGGACAGGACACTGAGTGGACACAGCTCTGTGTCCTTCCCCACGTCCAAGAAGCTTCTCCTGGGGAGTTACACAAGGTAGGCTTTAGGAGAGCAGAAATGAGCTTTGGGGTTGTCGATGGCTTTACCCTGAGTGCACAGAAGGGGCAGAAGGCTTCTTTCCAGAAACACAGCTGGGCAGTTACTGCTGTTGCATTTGTCCTCTGTGGTCCAAAGGTGGAGGGGTAGAGGGGCGGTCTGTTGGCCTGGAGGGCTGTCTTAGGGTCTGGGTCTCTCACGGCTCAGGATGCGTTTCTGAGCCCCCTCACTCTCATTCCCTCTGTTTGGCTGCTACACAGGGTGGAATGTTTTTCTCCACGGTAAGATAGTTTATTCATGCAACAAATCTTTACCTGGGTTAGACCAAGTGCTGCAGCAGTGAATAAACAGTCCTGTCTCAGGTCCTCAGCAATCTTACAGTACAGTCTCTCCCTCCAGCGTATGGTTTTGCAGCCTGGATGTGTCTGCCAAAAGCCGAATGGTGGTCACAGGCGACAACGTGGGGCATGTGGTCCTGCTGAACATGGACGGCAAAGAGGTGCGTGTTCCGAGCCCAGGACTCCTTTGATCTCCCCGACCCAACTGTTCCCCTCAGTTCTCTGTCCCCATCTGAACTGGGCTCTCCTCTGCAGCTCTGGAATCTCAGAATGCACAAAAAGAAAGTGACCCACGTGGCTCTGAACCCGTGCTGTGATTGGTTACTGGCCACAGCCTCTGTGGATCAAACAGTGAAAATTTGGGACCTGCGCCAGGTTCGAGGGAATGCCAGCTTCCTCTGCTCACTGCCACATAAGCATCCCGTCAATTCAGGTGTGACACCACAGGCCTCCCTCACCTTGCCTGCTCACCCCACTGCCCCCACCACTGCTGGGGCCTCCCTGAAAGTCGGGGAACTGTTCACAGCCCAGATTCACCTCTGCCCTTCTTGCCTCTTGTCCAGAGAGGAATGGGAGGGAGGGTGCCCCTGCAGGAGAAGGCCCCTCCAAGAAGGTCAGGCCAGTAGGAGGCCGGCTTGTGGCGGTTGCTACAGCTCGGGCACTTTTCAATTTTGGCAGCTTCTTTCAGCCCTGATGGAGCCCAGCTCCTGACCACAGACCAGAAGAGCGAGATCCGGGTTTACTCTGCCTCCCAGTGGGACTGCCCCCTGGGCCTGATCCCACATCCTCACCGGCACTTTCAGCACCTCACCCCCATCAAGGTGAGGGGCCTCGCCAAGGGAGCCGTGGGGGACGGGGCAGGTGTGCCCAAGGCAGGGGAAAGGAGCAGCCATGTGGCAAGTCTGCGCGCTTCCTCTCGCCCCCGATACGGAGCTGTTTCCTCTCCCTCCGGCTCACTCTGCTCCTCTCACCCCACTTTGCCTTCGTTGGGTTTTCTCTGGCTGTCTGGGTATTTTCACTCCAGCCTTGATCTGCTGAGGGCGTTTGTGAAAGACCTTGACCTCCTGTTCTGGCCTCGCATTTTCAGTTACCCATGTGTGTGGTTGCTCTACAAACTAACCTCACCTTCTTAGTTTGTCTTGCAGGTTTGGGTGGCTTCTAATACTAGACATAAGCCCCTTACTTTCCCATTGTGGATCTCCATTTCCTCATCTGTAAAAAGGGAACGATAGTATCTAACTGATAGGGTTGTTGTGAGGATGAATCAGTATACTTAAAGCACTTTGCACCATGCCTAGTACCAGGTAAGTACTCGGCAGATGGTCATCGCTTGGTATCCCCCACGCCTTGAATCACATCCAGGCACCTAATATGCACTGCCAAGGATCCTTTGCCAGCTGGAGTGCTTGCTAATCTGTCTGTCCTGACCTCTCACTTCATACGCAGCCAGGCCAGCTTGCCATGTGACTAGTGGTACCACTTCTGCCTTCCTGCTAACCACACCTGTGCTCCTTGCAAACTTTCCTGAGAAATTGTATTGGTGGTGGGGGTGGGGGGAGAAAAATGCCAATAACTTGCAGATGAGTAGGCTCATCTGGGCTCCTGGAGTTTCCTTTCTTTCTAGCCTCTCATGATTCTTAAGTGTAGCTCCTGTTATTTACATTACCAGAGGGATGGCAGAGGGCGGGGGTTGCTGGGACTTCAGATTTCTGCCCTAGGTGGTTTTCATTACCCTGGGCCGTTTGCCGTCTTGTAGGCTCACTAGATCAGGTTGCTGTTAAAAGTGGCAGGAAGTACAGAACAGAGAGAGCATGCCTGAAGGGGTTGTGGAGCCCGGCAGGCCTGCTGGGCATGAGACGTCTGTAATGGCAGATGCATCCTGGAGTCGCGTGGCAGTCTCAGCACCGTCATTATGGTGTTGGCAGACTGCTGTTGATGCCCACCTCTGGGGGGTGCTCTGTGCTCATCCCCCTGAATGGCCCCTCCACCTCTTTAGGCAGCCTGGCATCCCCGCTACAACCTCATTGTCGTGGGTCGATACCCAGATCCTAATTTCAAAAGTTGCGGCCCCTACGAACTAAGGACGATTGACGTGTTTGATGGCGGCTCAGGGAAGTTGATGTGCCAGCTCTACGACCCGGAATCTTCTGGGATCAGTTCGGTGAGACACTGATGGGAGGAATCCAACATTCATTCACCTCACTGGTGACCCAAACTGATCTGGGCCGAGTCCCGGGTGTCCCTCCCAGTGTCTGCAGATACCACTGCCCCTCTCCCACCCCCTCCCCGCCTCCTCATGCTGACACCCTTGTTTCTGCAGCTTAATGAGTTCAATCCCATGGGAGACACACTGGCCTCTGCAATGGGTGAGTAGAAGCTGGATGCACCTCCCACAGGCCGAGCCCCACCCACTCATTTTGGCCCTTCCCACCCTTTCCCCCTCCAGTGCCTGGTGGTCGTCTCAGTCTCCTAAGTTCCCAGAGTTCTCAGAGATGGATGACAGCAAGGGTCCTCACTTCTCCCAGGTTATCACATTCTCATCTGGAGCCAGGAAGATGAGGCACGGAAGTGAGCGCCATGAAAAGCCTAGGCCAGGCACCTGCCTGGAACCTGCGGATGGGAACAAGCCCGGCAGGAAGAGGCAGCCCGCTGGCAAGAGGACCAAAAGGATCCGAGTCTGGGGGGGATTGGGGACACTTGGGGCGAGTTGGTGACCTGGCTGCTCCCAGGGTCTTGGTTGTCTCTGGCCTGGAGCTCCCCAGGTCTCTTCTCTGGGGTATAGTGGCTGAATGATTAGGGAGTGTTTGACGTACACTCACCATTGACAGCCAATAAAACCACAGCCTGCTGAGTTGCCGAGTGGAGCTTGCCAGTGCGCCGGGCTACTCGGAGGCTTCCCCTTTGGTCTCGGAAACACAAAGGCGCCAAAGCAGCACTCTCTGTCCACAACTTTCATTCTCAGGGAAGTTTCTCTGTGCCTCTGGCTCGCAGCCTGCTCCCCGCCCCCCAGGTCCCGAGACCTCAGCCCAGCTGAGGAAGGACAGTTTAGGCTGCTGGATGCTCCTGTCCCAGCACTCCCTCCCCAACCCTTCCAGGTACAGTTCCAACACCCTTCAGCTTGCGCTGGTGGGGGACCAGGGTGCCAGGAGCACGGCCTCACATGGGGACTTCTGTGGGACACAGGACTCATATGGGCCATCTGCTTCCTCGGAGGCCAATGCTTGTACAAGCCCCAACACTTTTCTCTCTGCCAAGATAAGCACTGAGAGGCAAGACTGTCTTCTCGGCCATCCACCGCAACAACTCCGGACTGGAGAGGGAGAGCAGGGTGCCTCCAGCCCCAGCTCCTTCCGTGTGTCACCCCAGGTACTGAGGGAAACCCCAGTAGTTGTCTGTGTCTCAGGTCCTTGGGGAGTTATGGAAGAAGCAGATCCGGCTTGGAGAAACCCAATGTCCAACACAGTATTTGGTAAACATCAGGCATGTGGGCGCTGAGTGACAGGTGCCACGGGACAAGCCAGTCCCCACGTGGCTCATCTGGGCTGGGGTCATCCTGGAAAGTTCTGACCCAGGGTCTCCTGTCCGCAGGCAGAGGAGCAGTGACAGTCAGGAGCAAAGGCCCAGCCCACCTCCCCTAGCAGGCAGAGGGGAGGGGGCTGAGTGGTTGTCAGGCGTGGTCCTCCCCGTCGGCGACGTGGTGGTAGCCAGGTGGCTGGGCCTGCATCCGGAAGAGGACTGTGAGGAGCAGCACGATGAGAAGGAAGAGGATGGAACCACACACAGCCAAGGCCACGATCACCTCTGGGCACAGGGGGAGGAAAGAAAAGTCATGTCAGCGTGCCATCCATGAAGACAGAAGTAGCTGCTCTGTCCTGCCGTACCAGAGACATGGGGCCAGAAGTGGCCTCATGGAGTTTGCATTGTAGGAGAGGAGATCCAATGGAAAAGCAAAGAAAGGAACAGCAGGCCAGGGACAGATGCCAGCAAGGAGAACAGTACAGCAGGCCAGGTGGGGAAGGCATAGCTGTGCGTACATAAGAGTGTGAACTAAGATGGAAAATTCGGTGTGACCTGGGGGCAGGGGTAGGAAAAAGGCTGCCAGAGTCTCCCATGTTCCAAGAATCTGCAAAAACACGTCCCCCATGGCCAATGAGGTGACTGCTGAAGAGAAGCTGGGAAGAATTGGCCATTGGTTTTTGTAAGATGGTCACCCTCATGAGAGTGGCTTTCAGTGCAGTGAAGGTGACACAAGACTATGGGGTTTGTCAGGGCCTTGGAACAGGTGACCAAGCGGAGACAGCAACAAGAGTCCCTGTGCAGGGAAGAGATGGACAAAGATCCCAAATGGGAGACTGTCCTGAGCGGTGGCTTCTCCCAGCCAGCCACTATTAATCTGTTGGTGGGAGAACTAGGACGTCAGAAGACAAGAAGACAGGGCCTCACCTCAGGCTGAGGAGAGTGGAGGGAGATGCCACACGCTGCTCCCTGCTGGCAGCCTGAAGCTGGAGCAGCCAGTGGCTCACCTGTGTCAGCAGATCCGCTTGGCAGCTGGCACTCCTGCTGCCAGTCCTTGGCTACCATGGGCTCTGTGAGATGAAGGAAGTCCTGCAGGGGGCAGCGGTGAAGGCAGCCAGGCAAGATCAACGGCCAGGGCGCCTTGCTACTGTCGTTGCGGAAGTACATCTCCACCGAGAAGTTCCTGAGGATGGACAGTGGGTGGAGGGGGGTTATCAGCTGTCACTCACTGAGGCCTTGGGCAGCCCATGGCTGTGGAGCAGAGGTGCGTCTCCAGGTGGCAGGCTGTACTCACCCGTTATCTTCCTGATACAGTTCAAATATGTGACAGGAGGCGTAGGGTGCCTGTTTGCCATTGTAGACGTCCAGGGCCATTTGCAGAGCCACCAGGGTGGTGTCGTGCTGCAGGGTAGGAGGGCTGCCCGTCAGCACTGCCCCGTCAACCCCCACACTCCATCCCGGAAGCAGACAGCTTGTGAGCATGCCAGCTCAGTCGGGAGCTTACCGCCGAGTAGACCAGCAGCTTAGGGAGCTGCGAGCTGTTGGCCATCAGCGTCAGGTTCTTCCGGATCTGGGCCAGCAGGACCCCTGAGGGAGAAATGTCCCCTTTGTTGGTGGTGATGGCCGTCCCCAAATCCTGACCAGACTACCAGTGCCCCTCAAACCTCGGCCAGTCCTGGGTCTGGTGTCCATGTGAGAGAATTCTGAGACCCAGAGCACCGTATGGGAACTCCACCCACTCTGCTCTCTAAGCACTTGATGGCTACTTCAAAGAGGAAGCAAGGAAAAGCGAGAGACCTCTAATTTTAAACACGGGCATGGACAGGTATGTTGGTAAATGAACAGCCACGAGGCTATGCCCATGTTTTGAAGAATTATTCTACTTTGGAACAAGCTTGCTTTAGCATCTACAAGATGGTTGCTGCCCATGCAGGTTGCTGGAAGCTACCATGCTGTCAGGAAGCTGTCAGCTGGCTGACTGCCCCCGACCCTGGAGTTGGGGCGGGGGGCAATCCCCAAACAGGGAAATGGCCGCTGGATGTTCGCTCAGCCTCCTCTGAACATGGGCTGACCGGAGAGACCCAGGGTTGCAAATGGCAGCAAAGTGGGATGCAAATCTGACAGACTAGTGGGGAGACGGAGAGGACAAAACGGGATGACAAGGCAGGGGCCTAGCTCTGGAAGAGTGAAGGAGCAGTGTGAGAAGCCCCACTGCACAGCTGGGGGAAGGAAGGTCCTGAGGAGAGAGTGACATGCCATTCCTGTCACTCACCGCCCTGCAGCCGGGCCTTTTGCACCTGCTCGTGGATCCCGAAGAGGAAACGAAAGCTGAAGTCCTTCAGGCGTCTCAGGCGCTGCATGGTTTGAGGTGAGGCCCAGGATGGCAGCGGGAGCCCATGGGTTTGCTGTGTAGCGCAACAGCGGACTGGTTAGCTCCCCAGGGGTGCACTGCCCCAGAGGGGAGATGCCTGTGTGTGTGAGGCAGTGCAAGGGCAGCAGGTGAGGCCCTGGGCCGGTGCCCGGGATGGATGCCATGGGCCCGCGGGGCACCAGGAAAGGAAACTCAAGCCGAAAGACAGACTCAGCAGGAAGGAGACCACGAGGGTGGGTGGGGGAGCGGTGGGAACTGCTGACAGCTAATAAACCGTTTCCCACTCAGGGGTCCATTCTCACCCGTGAGGAAGTCCCCATGTTTCACAAGCAGCAGCCTGCCTGGGCCTCGCCAGTGGCAGTGACAAGGGTCCAGCCATGGGGGTTCCACTGTCCCGGCTACCTGGGCTGCCGAGGGGGAGAGAAGAGCCCCTGCATTGCCCTTCCCCCAAGTCTGGTCCTGCACCGCAGTAGCTCACCTCACAGAAGAGTGTGTCATAGACATTCCAGACGGTCTCCAGTGTTACATCTGTCAGCCCCGTTTCGTTGGCCACCATGTCCAGAAATTGCTATGCAGGAGGACCGGGGGAGGAGGTGGTCAGCTTGGGCCTGGTTGCGGGGCATAGTAAGGACAGACGGGTGGCCCTGGTCTAAGCCCGACTCACTGCATTCTGGAGGCTCTCGCTCTGGTACTCAGGTGTCTGCCTCGTCTCATTCTGTAGCTGCTCGTAACGGGGACAGGGGCCCAACGGGAACTTCAGCAGCTACGGATCCAGGAGGTAGGGGAAGACAGAAAGGTGGTCAGCCAGGCAACCCTCGGTCAGCCGGGCAACCCTGTTCCTCTGCAGGGGAGAGCTGGTCATTCTCACCTTGTCCTCTGCCACAGGCACGGTGTGCACGGGGATCGGCTGCCACGTGATGTTGGGGTTGAAGCGCTGGGTCCCCGTGGGAGGAAACAGCCCTGCCAGGTTGGCCTCAGCACTCATCAGAGTACGGTCAAAGTCTGTGCTTCGTACATAGACCTGCAAGAATGGCGATATGAGACTCACCCCAGTGTCAGAGGTCATGGTGGGGTGGAGGGGACACCCTGTCCCCTCTCCCACCAGCACAATCCTACGGGAAGGAACTACTCTTGTCAGTTAATCCAGCAAGTCAGAACCCCATCCATACAGCTGGCCTTTCTCCCATCCCTCATGGCCCTGTCACCGTTCTGGTAAACAAAACACACCCTGTGGGAGTGACTCAGTTCAAATGGCCCTTCTTCCTGATCCAAAGTGCTTCGTCAGCAAGGCCTGCCCATCAGAGTTCTCAAACAGAGCCCATCTGCCACCCAGACCACGATCCTGGAGGATGGCACCTGCCTCTCCGAGCATGCCCCTGACGCATGCCCTGTCTTAGTGAGCAGTAAGAGAGGAACCAAGTAAGGCACAGAGGTAGTTGTTGGTGAAAAGGGAGAAGGAGACTGGGCTGCCGATGGAGCTGGGGCTCCAGGGAAGGAGCACGTGCCCAGCATCCTGCCATGTGAGGCTGAGTGGTCACCAGGGGAACAGCCACTCCTGTTCTGGGGCTGGCAAAGGACTCCACAGGACCAGTGCACAGACCCGTCTTCCCCGGTAGGCTGCGTCTAAGGATGTCTGCACTTCCCAGCTGTCATCTTAACCCCCCACCCCCGCCATTTATCACATCACACCCAACTTCCTCTCTCTCTCTCTCTCTCTCTCTCTCAATTTCTGCAAGGCAGAGAGACACAGGTCTTGCAGACAGTGGTTCTCTTCCCAGTGCCCACAACAGCATGGGCTGGGAACTCTATCTATGGCTCTCAGCTGAATCTCAAGGACCCAAGCCCTTGGGCCACTATCTGCTGCCTGCCACAACAGTGCTGGTCCTGAGCAAGAAACTGGATCAGAAGCAGAGTCAGGACTTGAACCAAGGCACTGCACTGTGGGATCAGTTGTTGCAAATGGT